CAGTCAAAATTAGTTTAAGTCCGTATGACGACAAACGTTATTTAATTCCGAACAGTTTTTGACACACTTCCGTGGGGGCATTACAGTATCTTATAATAGCGTTTTTTTTTTGTTATAGATGAATGCCCCAACATTATCAGAGTTAGCTGTTAGAAAAATTTGCGAATCAATAACATCATCAGCAGTAGAATTCATGGAGCAGTCTCCACTACCATGGAAATTAACTACGGAAATTGTGAAACAATTTCCTTTATATAAATGGCACGCTATGATTAAAGAAGCCAAAAATGATCTTGATTCTTCATATACAGGAATTAACTTTATTAGATGTCACAAAGAAATAGATCCAAATTTAATTCACACTATATTAGGAAAATCAGATTGGGGTTATGTTTTTGAAGATTATTCTAGTTACTGTCTATGGACAAGTGGATATTGGCTGGACCAATATTACCTACACGTATGTAAAAATTGTTTATCTAAATTTAAAGAAATACATAAAACTTTAAATAAACGTTTATTTGCCTGCTATGACCATTCTCACGAGGTTCACGATGCACATGACATTATTTTGAACGTATACCAAAAAAAGTATAATTGGTGTCACAGCTGCTTTAAAAGCGTAGTGTTTGAACTAAAAGACCAGGAATCTTGCAGAGATGCCTTACATGATAGGTCTAGAAATAACATCCGAATCCGATTTGATGAATCTGATGTAGACAGCGATATTGAGTTTTAAAAAAACATCACAGCAAACAAATTACAAAAAAATATATAAAAAGCGTTCATCCGTCCTCCAGTTTCTCTCTATCTATTGTACTAACATTTATATATATATTTTTTTTCAAACATGTATGTAGTACTAACATTTATATATATATATATATATTTTTTCAAACATGTATGTAATTAGATTTAATAAATGAATATTTATAAAAAGATGTTTTATTGATTTCGTTAGATTTTTCTAGTAAGAAGAGTTCACAACAACAACAACAACAAGATGTCCTGATAGCTTGAGTCGTCAGAGGTGTGCAACATCAGAAGCAATGTTAGTGCGTGGTTGGAGTTCAAAACTTAGCGTGTTCAAAAACAAAAAAAAAAAACACGCACACACATAATACTAACATTACTTCTGATGTTGTGGCGCGGTTCTTCGGGCTATCAAGACATCTTTTTGGTATTTTTGAACAAAGTGTGCACGTCACGTGCGTCACGTATCACGTCACGTGCGTCACGTATCACGTCACGTGCGTCACGTATCACGTCACGTGCGTCACGTGTCACGTCACGTGCGTCACGTGTCACGTCACGTACGTCACGTGTCACGTCACGTCACGTGTCACGTTACGTGACGTATATCATAATGAAACGACAGATATGCATTTTTACAAAAACTTTATTAAAATCGTTCAAGATCATTAGCGATCCTATGTCTATAGAAAAATATATGTTGTCCTAACGCTATATGTTGTAAAGTACAGCCTACGAGCTTAAATGTATACAATTTTTGAATAGCATCTGAAAACGTATAATTTTGATCATTAAAACTAGCTCGAACAATCTTAAGCGCATTATAATAATAGCTTGGAAATTCAACAGTTTCTAGCATAGACATATACGGTACTAAAAGTTCATTATTTGCTTCTAAAAGAGCGTTCACGTCCATTTCTGAGAGGTAGAAACTAATGTTGTGCTTGGTTATTTCGAGAATTTTCGTACTATCATAGATTAGTCGTCGAATTCTGCAATAGTCACCGCACTCGATTTCGACAGGATCATACTTGTCAGGAAGGTTCTTCTCCTCCTCCTGCTCCTCCGTCTCCTTCACCGTTACCACATTGAGCTGGGTGATTAATTGTTCCCACTCATAGGAACTGAAAGATAGTTTCAACCGTGATGAGTTCCACACAATTACAGCAGGAGTAAATGATCTCGCTGGGCTTAGACCGCATCCAATTTGGTATGATCCATTTGGAAACTGCGTGTACAGCAGATAATGGTCCTCGTTCTTGGCCGCTTCTTCGTACCTTTCCAGAATAGCATCCAGCTCACGGTCGTAGTTTACAGATGATTCGTGTGAGCTGCTGGTGGTGAGGTCAAACTCGCTGCAACTTGAACCACTACCACTGGTATCCATTTTTTTTTTTTACTAGCTGCCTGACTGACTGACTGACTGACTGCAACCGACTGAGAACTCACTTTTAGCAGAAACCCCCCCACCCCATACACCTAGACGATCGCATCATTGTCAATCCAACTATTATGTTTTGCATCAAGGCCAAGCCATTTGACGTACATTTTTTTACCTTTACGACGTAAAACTTTTTCAACTAAATAAACATCTGGATTGGCTGTTTTCTGTAATTCTTCGTCATAAAAGGCTCCTTTGATCGGTGCACCTTGCATATCTTCGAGCATGTACGTTGCAGGGTTGGTAATATTAATTTTAGTAACTTTAAATAATTCCGTTGTCCAGCTTGGAACGTATCCCTTGTCGAATAGCATTTTGGTTTTGCTGATGCGTACAATGTCACCAACTTTAAACTTACGCGGGCCCGCGATTTTTAAATGAGTATATTTTCGATTTAAGATACATTTTTCGTTGGATTTATTAATTTGTGATGGTTTACATCCGATGGTTTGATGACGTGTTCCATTGTATTCATTGGTAATGCTTTGTAATATATCAATCCATTTATACGATCCCATTAAGCTAAAGTATTTGTAAAGTTTATTTTTCAACGTCCTTATGGCTCTTTCAGCAATGGCCGCTTTCTTGATGCTATATGTACTATAATGATTAATATCATGCTTCTTCATTAAAGTTTGAAATTTACTATTGTAAAATTCTTTACCTTGATCAGATTGTAGATTTTTCGGCGTACGTTCCGTATGTGCGAGGATATCCGAAAACGCACGAGTTATCTCCTCACCCGTCTTTGTCTTTAACGGTCTAGTCCACATAAACTTGGAAAAAGAATCGATTACGACGAGAATTAATTTGAAATTTTTATTTTGATGAGCATAAGGTCGCATTTCAGCCAAGTCCGTCTGCCATAAATCGTCTAAGCCTTTAATGATGGTACGTCGTCTTAGATAATTTTTTCGAGCAGGCTTGTGCAGCTCGTTAACTAGTTGTAGCTTCTCCTTGGCGTACGTCATCATGTTTTAACGCTTTAAATTGTTGTTCCATCGGCTTTATACGCTTAGCAAGATCGAATGTTTTCAATGATATATATGATGTGCGTCCTTGCAAAAGTTGTAATTCATTCAATGATATTTTTCCTTATTGGAGTCAAATCGGTATGAGACTTAATTGTAGCCAACTCCTGTTCTATTCTTGTTGTTATATTTGCAATAGAGTCATCTACATATTTTTTTGTTGCCATATGTTTACCAGAAGTAGGCGGATTTCTCGAAATAAACTCTGTTATTTGATCTGTTTTTGCTGTTATTTTTTTTAAATCAATCACTGAGGTATCTACGTATTTTTTAGTTGCCGCATCTGAATTATCTGTGGGATCTTTTATATTACACAACTTTACGTTCTTGAAGTCAACATTTCCATCAGAAGTATGGGGTAGTGTTAACTTTGGCGGTGTACGCATATACGGAAGTGTCTTTTGTTTATCAAAGCGACGTCCGAATTTATCAAGACTCATCGTGTAAATGAAAGACCAAGGAACTAGATTACTGTATTATATTAGCTTCTTTTAGCTCGTTGAGGATGGCTACTATTTCATTATCATGCGACGTATTGCCAGCTTCCTGAGATGCCATAAGGAGTTTAAGTCGATCGATTAATTCATTGGGATCATCCCAGTACACGTATTCGATTGGTTCCTCGTTGTATGTCAAGTAATCACCGATACCTTTTCCTGTTGGCGGTTTTGATGTTGATGATGTTGTTGTTGTTGTTGTTGAGGGAGTGGATCTTGTTAATGATCGACTAAGTGGA